GGTAGATGGCAGAGTGTAGAGGCAGGTTCTCTTCTGACTGTTGCACTATTTGCAGTGCTACAGAAAATGAGGCCATCAGCCGAGAGAAGAGGATTGGAGAGAGGAAAAAGTATGACACAGTCATCTGGGAGAAGGGGGACATAGCCTAGAGAAGTGTTGTAGGATGGCTGAACAGCAGCATGGTGCTTGTTGAGGCTCGTGGTCATGAATTTAAAGTGGGACTTGTCGACATAGTTGTATTATTTTTCCCCAGTCATACTGGGCTGCAGGTGACGAGCAGAAGGATTCTTGGATTGGCCAGGGTTGGGGTCAAATAAAGGGAAAGCTGAGCAAGGAAAGAACTAAATGATGGAATCTAAACTGGGTGCAGGGGAAACAGAGGACATGAGGGATGGGGAGCGGTGTGAGAAGGAAGTAGGATTGATGAACGGGTTGCAGGTTCATCAGGCAGCAGGATTGTTGGGAGTTGTGGTGCACAGGAATGAATGAGAATGTGAGATACTTGAAATCAAGATCTGGAAACTTGAGAGAGCTGGTATGACAAGGTGCGGTGTAGGGGTCAGCAAACAGGGCCGAGGGGCCAAAGTTGGCCCATTGCCTGTGTTTACACAGTCTTGAGCTAAGAACAATCTTTACTATTTTTAAATCTTTACATTTAAAAAATTTATTTTTAATTCCAGTATAGTTTACATATAGTATTACATTAGTTTCAGGTGTACAATAGAGTGATTCACCAATTCGGTATATTGCTCAGTGCTCATCAAGATAGTTTTTACATTTTTAAAAAAGATTTTATTTATTCATTTGAGAGAGAGACCACAAGTGGGGTGGGGGTGGGGGGGCGGGCAGAGGGAGAGGGAGAAGCAGACTCTCCGCCGAGCAAGGAGCCTGCCTTCGGTTCAGGTCAAGAAGAAGGGGGCCAAGGGGAAATAGAAAGACAAGTGAACAGGTTATTACGTATTCTGGGTGAGACACGATGGTGTCTTAGACCAGACACCTGAACCGAAGGCAGACATTTAACTGACTGAGCCACCCAGGCACCCTAGTTTTTACATTTTTAAATGTAATATACACACATACATACAAGGACAATTACTCTTTCAGCAAGAACAGTTGCTCCAAGAATGGAAGATATGGCCTCCTGGCCTGCAAAGCCTATAATATTTACCATCTAGTCCTTTACAGAAGAAGTTTGCTGACTCTTAGTCTAGACTCTAGGGTATCACCATGTGTGTGAGTGAATGAGGTAAGGCAGAGGACACAATTGTGAAGGCCAGGTGGCCAGGATATTGGCAGGATCATCCACACGGGTATAGAAACCATAATTATGACAGTAGTGTTGGAGAGTGACAGAAGTTAGAAGTAAGAGTCAAGGAATGAGGGGTTGTGACCTGGGATCTGCAATACCTATAGAGGACTGTCACCGAGAGGAATCACATGTGGTCTAGTCTGATAGCATGAAGTTCAATATTTACAGTTCAAGGGAGGAGAGAGAATGCTCTAGAAGTAGCTAGGGGGAAGAGCTAGTCTGTCACTGATCCACCTCCAGGCACCAGTGGTTTGAAGGAGGACTAGAGCCACCCCATGACACAGCTGCAGGGGCAGCAGAGTGCCCAGAGATGGCCTGGGTGCCCGAGTTAATGGTGGCCTGAGCAAAGAGCACAAGAGAAGGGACAGGTAAGTCAGTCCCCCACTGGCTGAAAAGCTCTGCAGAGGAAGCCTTTGAGCTGAGGCTTAAAGTATTGGTAGGGGTTGGTCAGGTAACAATGGGTGGGATAGGAAGAAGAGAAGGGATATACAGGTGTAGGAAAGCATGATTTATTTGAACACTGACCTCAGAAAGTCACAAATGAACTTCGATACAGCTGGACATTCAAAATCAGTGCAATTAGGAGCTTTGAATGAAGAGTATTATTTCTTCTTTAGTATTTGCATGCTGGGGCTTAAGTAGATTGAGAGCCCCATGTAGATAGGTAGATGCTCTATAAATGAAAGAAGACACACATTGAACTTTCACACTTGTTACTTCCCCACAGGTATAGTAGAAACTGTTTTATATAAATCTTTATATGGAGATTCATTCATTCATCTCTCCAGCATTTTTTGAGAGTATCTCATCTGCCAGGCATTGGGGATATAGTGTGAATAACACAAAAGCTTCCACTCTCTGAGCTTATAGTCTACAAGTAATTACATTGACGTATGATCAGTGCTAAGACAGGATGATATTGGTGCTCCATGCCTTGGCATCTAAACTAATCTGGGGGCTAGGGAAGAATCCTGGAGGAAGTGACAATTAATGTGGAGAAATAGATTGTTGTTAGAACAAGGAATGGGCGGTGGTGGTAAATGTCCCAAGGGAGGTGATGGCACTCATTGGGTTGGAGGTGGGAGAAAGGGCTGTTTAAGGCACTGAAAGATAGAGTGTGGTGAGAGATGGACCTAGAAAGACGATGGGGGCCTGGACCGGAGTGGTGTCTCCATCTTCAAGAAGCTTCTGTGTTCTGTGCAAGTGTTCGAAGTCTTTCTTCTCTCTAGGCTGCCAAGTCCAAGAAGGCAGGAACCAAGTCTGTCCTGTTCACTGCCTTGCACCTACCTATCAGGCGCTTACTTCCCGTATCTGGCACGTGGTAGGTACTCAATAATGGTTTGTTGAAGGAATGTGTAATTGTGAACTGTAATCTAACTTTCTCAAACTGTTAGTTTCAGTGTAAATACCTTCATTCCAGCATTCTTGTAAACAAAATGATGAATGTGAAAGCATTTTGTAAACTATAAAACATGATACTTGATTTAAAGCTATATTATGTTGCAAATATGTATAATGTAGTACTTCTTTTGTGCCACTAAGAACTGTTTTTTTTTTTTTTGAGAATCTTATTAGCTTTATTCAAAACCTCCAAACATTGTATTAGAGAAATTATCCAGTTATATATAGTATAAAAGTAGCTTGATTAGGGAAAAAACCTTCACCAGCCTGATCACTTCCTTTTAACACTTCCTAAAGTGGCTTCTAGCATATTCAGGTTGCTTGTTTTCTATGAAGTGAGCATTAATCAACAAGTAATTATGCTTTTCTCCTGGTTCAGAATAGATCCTATCTTGCTCCTCGTTGTGTACTCATCCATCTTCACCAGCGAAACATCAACTCCTTGAAAACAAGCAACTTGCATTTTTACCAGCATTATGGCTATTAGCTGGTACTTAATACCTATTGGCTGAATTTTTTTAAATTTATTTTTAAAAAGATTTTATTTATTTGTCAGAGAGAGAGCACACAAGCAGGGGGAGTGGCAGGCAGAGGGAGAAGCACCCTCCCCCCCCCCCCACTGAGCAGGGACTCCATCCCAGGACTCTGGGATCATTACCTGAGCCGAAGGCAGATGCTTAACCAACCGAGCCACCCAGGCATTCCATCCTATTGGCTGAATTTAATAAAATTTATCCTGGAAGTTGAGACTATTCACAAATAAAGTACTAGACGCTAATTGTACCTAATACACTTAAATGATCATTGGCTATTATATTACCAAATGCTTCATCTACTTTAACTTGAGAGAAAAGAATGAGGATGCAGAAATACTGAATTTCATTTTTTGCTCCAAATTTTCTAGGGTTTGTTTTGTTTTAGGTCTACCACATAATGAGTAATAATCAATGAGATTATTTTACCATCTTCTTCGAGATATGATAACGAAAAGGAAAGAATGTTGGACAGCTTTTTCTGACACTTAGGTCGTTTCCTTTTATTTTATTCTGTTACATTTCTCTATGGCCTGCTAATAGTTTTCTATCTACAGCATTTAAAAGCTATATTTGCTTTTATGTTTAGCTCTTTAATTTTGACTTAATTATTATATACACAAACAAGTCTCTTGATCCTGCCTCATAAAACAGTTCCTATAGCTTCTTAGTACTTGTTGCTCAACTGTCTGGTTCTTAATTTTGGGAGAGTGAGTTTAGACATTTAGAGTGGCCCAAGCATTTTGAAGGAAGAACTCTCTGAAGTTAATTTTTAAATAACCTTTTTTAGACTCTGTGATGTATCTTTTGTCTGCATTTCCCACGTTTTCTTTCTTTATAGTGATAAATTTAAATAGAAAAACCTCTTTGCTGAGGCAAAGAATGAGGGGGAAAATGCTTTTCGAGTGTATGTACTGTGGATTCCTTGTGCCCCGATACAGTACTGTCATTCATTCGAATATCCCATCCATTATTACATAATGTGTAATAAATTTGCAACAATTTATTCCACTGCTGCTTTCTCAATTTTTCTTCTGAACTCATCTTAATTTCATACCTAGGATTTGAGTAATTAGATTCAGTTTAAATGGCTTTCAAGTTCTAGGTGTACGTTAGTGAACATTAAAATTGTAAATCAATAATAAAAGACTGTAGCAAGCGGCCTGAGAAATTGATTTCCCCCCCAACACTCATTTTTCTTATGTTTCTTTGTGATGTGTGCTGAATGTTAAGGTTACAACACTCCCACGTATCTTCAAACATTATGCGAAGTCTGTTTTGCTGCAGAACTTCCTGCCCTCTTGTCAGATTACTGTCTCCAGTCTGTCCTCAAAACTCACCTTCTCTGAGGGCTCCCATTCCCCAATCTTTGTGTCAGCAACTTTTTAATTTTACCGATATGAAATAAGCTTGCTAATTTATTTATTGCGTCCCTCCTCCCCCTGCTAGTCCGTCAAGGGACGGGTCACTACTATTAACCAGTGGTGAGCAGCGCTGGCCTAGCGATAGCTGCTCAATGCATTTCCGATAAACGGATATATACCGCATTTTCATTCAGCGGAGACGGATCATTCCCTAGGCGGATGGGACCTGACTGTAACTTGGCATGACTCCGCACAAAGCAGGTCCAAAATCTGTGCAGACGCCTTCTTTCTCGCCAGGCAGAGACTTTGACCCAAGTATCACCTTTCCCACCTCGATTCTCGCTCAAGGAGAGAGGGGCCTGAGAACCCTCTCCCATACGTTTCCCCGAGGAAGCCGGAGGAGACACCGGGGCGCACGAAGGGCGCATACCGCCGCCACGTCAGCCAGGGCGCGCGACGGCAGCGCGCCTGCGCGCGGAGGACGGTTTCCCCTACATCCGGGGCCTGGGCGGCGGCGGCGCCGCCGTGCGGGGGTCACGTGGCTCTTTCCTTTCCGTCTCTGGCCGGCTGGGCGCGGGCGACTGCAGGCGAGGCGCGTGGAACCTCGCGCTGGTTCCCCTTCGTCTCCTCTCCCGGCCCGGGCCACTAAGGAGTTCGCTGACGCCGGGTGAGCTGAGCCTGCCGCCAAGATGCCGGCCTATTTCCAGAGACCGGAAAATGCCCTCAAGCGCGCCAACGGTGAGTAGGGTAGGGGATCGGGGCGCGCCGGGCTGCGTCGGCCCGAGGCCTCTGAGGTCGAGGGGCCCGGGCCTGCTTCTCGCTGCTGCGCTGCCTGGCTGCGGCCGGAGAGGTGGTCGATGCGACCTGCCCGCCGCCGTCCGGGCCCGTGGGTGGGCATGGTTTCCCTTCTCGCTCCAACCGACCGGGGCGGGTGGGAGGTGCGGAGCCGGGAACCGTCGCTCTGGGGGCCCTTCCTTCCCCCCGCTGCCTCCTGGTGCGTCTCGGGGGCCGCCGTCCCGGAGACAGGTTTCCGGGGCCCGAGTTCCTTACCCGCCTTGTTCGCTTCCGCCCGGCGCCCCAGGCCGCCGGGCTCCCGGCTGCTTAGGCCCCGTGCCCCCAGCCGCCATCTGGGAGTGCCGGGGAGGAAGAAACATGGCTCCCTCCCGGGGACAATGCACGCGAGAACCTCGACTCCACCTCCTGCCGGCGCCGGGAGCCGGGCAGTCCCACCTCCGGCCCTCCTGCAGACACCTCCGCCCCCCAAATCCAGCGCCGGGCTTTGCTGGGTCAGGGTCCACTTACCCCTTTCCCGTCACTATAACTCTGCTTCGGAGACTCTGACCCATTTAACTTGTTACCTGTTTTTTTCTGGCATTGATTATTGGCCTTTTCCAAATCACATGAAGTTGGAACAGAGTTAATACTGTAAGAGAGGGACTTCAAGTTCTCGCTTAAAGATAACGAAATTGAGGCCTAGAGAGAATGTTTTTACCCAAGGTCACTCTGGGAGTTAGTTGTTGAGCCAGGAGACTAGAACCAAGGTCTCTAGACTTTCCGATTAGTCGTTTTTTCGCCACAGCGCTGCCGCCTGCGATTTTTATTTCTAGTGTACTTAAGCCACGGGCCCTTTCAGGAAAACTTGTGCGTGTCCTGGTCTGTTCAAGAAGCATTTATTACGTTGCCATTATTGGGGTGCAATGTATTATGCATTGCTCTGGTTTTTAAGAACTTTATCGTTTAGAGTTTTTTTTTTTTAAGATTTTATTTATTAGAGAGAGAGAGCACGAGAGGGGGGAGGGTCCGAGGGAGAAGCAGACTCCCCGCTGAGCAGGGAGCCCGATGCGGGACTCGACCCCCGGGACTCCAGGATCATGACCTGAGCCGAAGGCAGTTGCTTAACCAACTGAGCCACCCAGGCGCCCCTCGTTTAGAGTTTTTTAAGCCCAACAATTTCTAAGTGTGTAGGGCGTCCGTAGCTCTTATTTTCACCCTTTCTGTACCCAAACAAGTTTTGGGTCTTATCCATGTTGTAGGTGGATATATCGTGTCTGTTACAGTTTTAGTTCATGGAGCTTATTTTGTTAGTTTGTGTGAAAATTAATCTTGTGAAAAGGTCAATTTCAGTCAATAATAAAATTAATACTACTGATAACCTGTCAGGATTAAAGGTGTGTTTGTCACATGGTTGTTATTTTAAAAGTAACAATTTGGGGGTTGGTAAGAGTGTGGAATATGATCGTCCACATTCTTTGGAATATAGTACAGTAATTGTTTTAAAAATCGGGTTAAAACTACAACTTAGATCTGATGACTACTCATTTTAACCAGTGACCTAATGGTTAGAACAGGCAAGAATTAAGGATGTTAATTTTTTTTTTTTTTTTTTAAGATTTTATTTATTTATTTGACAGAGAGACACAGTGAGAGAGGGAACACAAGCAGGGGGAGTGGGAGAGGGAGAAGCAGGCTTCCTGCAGAATGGGGAGCCGGATGCGGGGCTCGATCCCAGGACCCTGGGATCATGACCTGAGCCGAAGGCGGATGCTTAACGACTGAGCCACCCAGGCGCCCCTAATTTTTTTTTTTTAAGATTTTATTTATTTAGGAGAGAAAGAGAGGGCGCCCACGAGCGGGGCAGGGGAAAGGATCAGAAGGAGAGGGAGGAGCAGACTCCCCCCATGCCCCAGGGACACCCCCCCTGATCATGACCTGAGCTGAAGGCAGATATCCAACCACTGAGCCACCCAGGCACCCAAGGATGTTAATTTCTAGGAAAGAAAATAGATTGAAATGGAAATTTATCACTACAAAATGAACTGCAGCAAAGTTAGAATCTTTTTTTCTGTTTAGAAACGTAGAATTATATTATGGTATACAAAATGACTGGGATTCAATTACTGTTCTAATTGCTATTGTAGATCTGTTTTACAGTCATTTGCTTCAGATAGGCGTTTTTTCCATGCTAATAGGCTGAAGCACTGTACTGTTGATGGCCTAAATACTACACATTTGATGTGTTCAGGCCTGGTTTGTTTCATCACTCCTCCCTTCTGAATCTTCATTTGAACTTAGTATTTCAGTAATTTTTTTAAATTAGAAGGGTTTTCTGATGTGTAACAAATCCTAAATCTTTTTACATGTTTTCTAAGTTGAAATAGATTTGATTCATGAAGGCAAAGTTGGGGAAAGCATCTGAAATTAAAGTAGGCAAGATGAGCAAGGGGCACCTGGGGGGTACTTTAATTTTGTGTAGGTTTTTATAAGGCTGTACTGTCTCCTTGCTGTAGTCCTTTTAAAATGTAGGTTGGGTGTTTCTGTAGTATAGGCCTTAGCTTTCAAGTAGTAATTTCTGTACCTTTGATCTTGTGAATGAGAGCTGTCTGAAAGTGTTAAAGTGAGCAGAATGTGGATGGCACATGCCACTGCTTACAAAATTTACAAAACTAGGATTATAAAAGCACATTTCATTCGATGGAGATAATCTCATTGTATGTAAATGTTTTATCTATAACAGCCTCAAACACATTAGAACTAATTCGTTTTATTATCTTAATAAAATGTGAATAAGTTTAGAGTAGTTCAGGTCATCTTAGCCTGTAATTCGGAACAATATTTTTGGAAACGATTATAGTAATCACTCAGGAAGATGAAAACTTGGCCCAGCATTTACAGGCAAGAAATTCATACACGAGAATCATTTGGGAAAAGCCCCTTTTCCAAATTATGTTGTCAGTAGTATGGAGTTTAATTGCTCCTGATCTTGTAACATCCTTTTAATTTATAGTCTACCAGTGATTTATAAAGTTGTCATTAAACCCACAAATTGTGTAATATTGTAGCTTATCTACTTGGTCTGTTGGCACAGATAAACTAATATTATTAAAGAGCAGACCTAAACTTTTTCTTTTAGAGATAGTTTGTCATTGTGTCCGAAAGGTAAGTTCAGAATGCCTACCCTCCTAGTATTAGTTCATAATTCCAGATTTTAATCTTTATTTCAAGAATATCAATTTGGAAATGAGCATTTTTTAAAACATTGCAACAGAACCTTTAATGTGTGGTATTTCTTTCTAGCCTCAAAAACTTTCTTTTTCCTTATTAGATAAGTAATAGGAACTAAATTCTCCCAGTATGTAAATTAGGGTAAAGGCAGGAACTCACCCTAATGGATTATCATGGTTTCTGTTCCCATTCCATTTTTTTACTTTAAAAACATTCTTGCTTGGTACCCATGTCTGCTTTTTTTCTTGGTGATGGTGGAGGTGTCCTATACAAAATTATTTTTTAGTGCATTTGCTTTGGTTTGTTTGAATCTCTTGTTTCAGAGTTTGAAAGTGGAATTTGGAATCATAAATCTTGATTGGCTGTTTAGGAATTGAAAATTAATTTTAGGGACGCCTGGGTGGCTCAGTCAGTTAAGCATCTGCCTTCGGCTCAGGTCATGATCCCAGAGTCCTGGGATCGAGCCCTGCCTTGGGCTCCCTGCTCTGCAGGAAGCCTGCTTCTCCCTCTCCCACTCCCCCTTGCTTGTGTTCTTCTCTCGCTGTGTCTCTCCCTGTCAAATAAATAAATAAAATCTTAAAAAAAAAGAAATCACACTCCCCTATTTAAAAATAAGAGATTGGGTAGGTGAATTATTTTTAGACAGTTTATTATTTTGTCATCACCATGCTGGGGCCAGTTCTCAACTTTAACTCTCTTTGTGCCTGTTCTATGTTACAAGCATTTTGACAGTGTTTAAATAGGATAGTATAAGATTTAAATCCTCAACCTAAGACTGGGAATTGGGTATAATAGATTGTTTTGGTGCTGCTGGTGTGCTATTTAATGTGGATGATAAATTTAACTAAAAACATTTACTTCCAAATTTTTGGCTGATTGAGGCCTTTCCTGTTAAATAGTTGTTAAAAACACCTAAGGTACTGTTGGATTTTAGAAAATAACTTTGTATATGTATGCTTCAGGAAGAAGATAGGTAGGTCCTACCCTTAGAACAGGAAAGGCTTATTATTTTAACAAAGTATCTAGTTGTATTACATTTCTGTTTCCTCTTACAGGGTTTTTTGTTTTGTTTTTTGTAATAAAATGGACTCAAATGAAAATGGACTTTACCCCATATTGCCAGGATTAGTGTTGACATTGACTTGAATTATTGTAGAGAGGTTTGTTTTCACTTCCATCTGAAGAATATGATTTGATATAATGTGGGATGACATAGGGTATTGTGTAAAGATAGTTATTTCAGTATATTTTGTGATTTATCTTGTTGCAAACTTGTTAATATACCAGAGCTGGAGTATTGTTTGTAGTTTTCCTGGAGGAAAGAATGTTCAGAAGCAACATTCCTGAAAGATGTGATAGTTGGGAGAAGAAATAATAAAGAATTACTAAATCTGTACATCTAGTAAAACTCCCAAATAAGGGACGTTTCTGCCTGTTGTTTGCCTAGCACAGTTACATGGTTTATAATGTTGTATGGTGTTAACTCTTTTTTTTTTTTTTT